GCGGGGCCTGGGACCACCCCGTGACCCTTGGCTCTCTCTCACCCCGGTTAGGCGGGGGAGAGAAGGTGGGGGTCCGAGGCAGGGGGCTCAAACCGTGCTTTTTTGTGAGGATGTTTCTTGACTTTATGACCACTTAGGCTTTGCATTGCAGACAAAAGACGGTGAAGTGCTGGGAGTTTATATATATATATATATCTTTTAAATGTAGCATCGAGCGGGCATCGCCATCGCCTACACAAACTAACTAAGGCTCCTTGAACCGGCAATTATTTTTCATTTGCACCAGCATCACGACGACCTATGGACGTGATACGTATATAGGCTAGAAAAAACCATTTGGCCTTATATAGGCAAAATAACACATGGGGTACGAGTGAGCAAGACAATTTTCTAGAGAACAAACCTTTGCTTTTTGCCTTGCTAGCCTTGCACTTCTGCAAATTTTGCTAACTGCTGACCCTGGCAGTTTCGCCGTTTTTGTTGGCCAAGTCTTGTTGGCCAAGAAGATGCGAGGCCTCATGAACCAAACATGGTGGGTTTGCATGTCTTGAGGTTTTTGGTTAGAGGTGCCCTGAGTGTTGGCTTCACCACTTGATGTTTGTAGAATGGGTGGTAGGTAGGTAGATTGGTACACAGGTAGGTCGGTTGGTTTAATTTGATTGATGCTTTCAACGGAGGAAACCTCAAGAATGCGCTTGACACACCCTACTTTATTGCTTTGGCCTATGGAGAGCATTTTCCAGAGGCTTGCATGAAGGAGCCAGAATGTAGGCTCACTCAGGGTTTGTCGAGTATGCTCAATTGGCTCGTTACGTTGAAGCAGCTGAAAGCTTTCCCCGAAGGGAATCAGGTGGCCGCTTACATCCCCTACTTGGAGGACCTCTCGCACATACGCTATGTTGAAGCCTGGCGCAGCACTCCCTGGTTCGTTTTGCTGGAGAAACCGCACTGGTCTGAAGCTTTTCTCTACTTAGTGCAGGAGCTGGAGGATGTCTTAGATGCGGATATGGGTTTTCCTCTATCCGATAACGCTGAGGACAAGTTCCAGCGTTCTGTGCAACGAATGGGCTCTGACGCTTCCGATGGCCTCCCTTCCATGATTGGAATGTATTTTTGTGTTGGAGATGATGTGCTAAGTGCTAGGTGGCCATCTGAGGCCATCTGCCACCGGCAGAGGAGGTGTTTCTTCCAAGGTGCACGGGAACTCATATTTTTTAAGGAACTTTTTTCGCGTCCTTTTTGGGATTTTTTTCACCGTTAGTGGTTTGATAGCTTTCTGTTAGCTGTGGCTTTTGGTGGCTCTGGGCTTTTGGCGGCTGTTGGTTTTTGTTGGCTTTTGGCAGCTTTTGGCTTTTGGTGGCGTTTGGCTTTTGGCGGCTTTTGGCTTTTGGTGGCTTTTGGCTTTCGGCGGCTTCTGGCTTTTGGCGGGTGTCGGCTTTTGGTGGCTTTTGGCTTTTGGCGGCTTTTGGCTTTTGGCGGCTTCTGGCGTTTGGCGGGTGTTGGCTTTTGGTGGCTTTTGGGGCGTGTCTCGGCTTCTTTTTTTGATCATTTTTCCAACCATCTTGCTATGTTGCCAGGGCATGACTGCTGCCGAGGGCATCTAGATCTCTAAGTCTCTCTGGGAACTTTGGGGAACTTGTTGCACATATCCTTTCATTGTCTGCTCCTGATCTTGAAGCAGGTGTGAAGCGCTATATCGCCTCCACACAGGGCACTTGCGGAACCAACCCGGGCCATCTAACTTTTGAAGGCTTTCAATTCAGTGTCTTTGCTGCCTGTCGTTAATTTGCCATATGTTTGGGGGGTGCTGGAGACTTGCGCATGCCATTGTTTGGCACATTTTTGGAGTGTTGGCGTGTTAGTCCTTGTCTTTGGTCCTTTGAGGTGGCTGCTGCTGTCCCCTCCATTCTTCCATGCTCTAAACACTGTGGCAATGCCAAATAGGTGGATAATAGGGCCGACCTTAGCTTCCAACACCTCTGCGCAGTGAATGCCATAAAAAGGCTGCAAGTAGTTATAGTTTCCATACTGTAAAAGCTGTGACAAAGCCACAGAGGTGGTTGATATAGCGCGCCCCTCAGCAATGTCCAGCATGTCTATCCTTTCGTTCTTTTGTGTCTGCCTGGTCCGATGTGTTTCTGTTGAAGGCTTTTGAGCCGATGCTCAACCCCAACCATCCTCAGTGGGCTAGAATATATGGTCCTTTGAGGTGGCTGCGCTTCGAACCACCTATCCAAAGTGATGCGAACCAGCCGACGCGAAAAAAGGCACGCTTTGTCCTTGCCCCTAGCTTCTTTGCTCCAGCGGTGATCCTCGCAATGCTTCATTCTTTCACGCGTGAGCTCTGAAGTGTAATCTGCACTTTGAGGTTCAAAAAAGTGCAGCGCCTGCCACAAAAAGGTTTCCAGGTTCACAAAGTGCTGCACCTGCCACCCGCCACGAAAGGTGCACTTCCCGGTTCACAAAATGCTGCGCCTGCCACGAGGTCCGCGCTTGAAGGTTCACGAAGTGCGGTGCCGGCCACGAAATCTGCACATCGAGGTTCACAGAGTGCTGTGCCTGCCACGAAATCTGCACATCTAGGGTCACAGAATGCTCCGCCTGCCACAAAATGAGCAACTGAAGGTACTCAAAATGTTATGCCTGCCACGGAACCACTACGTGAAAGCGCTACCACAAAAAATTCCCAAAAGGAGCGCGAAAAAAATCCCTTAAAACATCGCCAACCTTTTGCACGCTTGATGGCATCAACAAACTATTCAATAAACCCTACTGTGCATCATTGTTCTTGGTTTATTGGACATGCGACGCCTTCACGTTATTTTTTAATCCTTATTTGTTTGCGTTAGTTTTGCCCAACTGGCGGCAGACTCAGGTGGTGCTTGTTCCCGGCTGGGCAAACTCCAAGAACAGGCGCTTGGACTTAGAAATGATGAGGACATAGCGCTTGCCATTGCTCGGTTGCAGCAGGCGGCCTTTGAAGCACCTTGTGCTTGGGCATTTGGTGCAAACACATGACTAAGATGTGGAAACAACATGTTCCGGTCACGCAAACCTCAACATGTTCTAAGCAACAAGAAGCTACTAGTAACAAGTGCATCGCTGCTAGTAACAAGTGCATCGCTACTAGTAACAAGTGCATCGCTACTAGTAACAAGTTTTCTTTTTTTGGCGTCGAACATGTTTCAGCCTCCGAGGTTTTGAGCACTTTGCTCGGAGCATGGTGATTTTTGGGGCAGCGATCCGTCCGCTGTTGCCAGCAGGTGCTTGGCCTTGGCCTTCATCATCGATGCCGGCGGAGTCAGGAAAGACTCAATCGATTTGGCGCCTTTGCAACCAGCCAGACATAACTCACCGTCGTGTTGGCCAAGCAGAGCTGCACTTTTTCTCCGCTGATGTTATACTGGTTGGAGAGGAGCTGCAGGTTGAGTTGCTTTGGACAGCGACCTCGGACGACAGCTGCATCATGGTTGGAAGCAATTCTGAAAGGGAGAATGACACGTACTATTCTTTCCTACACACACTTCCTCACTCCCACCTGATGCATTGGGAATGTGCCTTCAACATGCCTCAGGGCATCGAGTTCCATTCCAGCAGTGCTGCTGCAAGCACTTCCCTGTCCGGTTTCACGTCCATCTCCACATGCCGGGTCCCACCAGACACTGCCGCTGCAAAGCTCCTGAAGTGCCCCAGCAAAACGGACATGCTGCACAGCCAGGAAGGAACACAAATGAATGGACATGATATAGAGTCTCTAAGAAGTTGGCCTCCCTGGGCGACAAAAGCATATTTAAGAACACACACACACATACATATATACAACCGGGGCCCGAGAGTCTGAAGCCTCAAAAGGCCTGCGAACGCG